GGGGTGTGCCCCCCGCGGCGCCATTGGCCGCGGAGAAGGGGGGGGGGGCTTTTGGCGCTCCCCGGTTCGGCTGCAATGAAACCCCCCCTCATATATATGCCTAGCCTGTGTGCTCCTTGTGTGGGTTGGGTGGGACAGTAGACGCGTTCTGGAGACTGTCTGGAGTGGGTGTGGCGTGACCAACAGCGCGCACGAAGGGAGGCTTTTCGGCACGAAATGTGTTTGGAGATGGGCGTGTGTGGGGTGCCCAGGACACGTGTGTGCCTCTGGGCCAGCTGGTCTCTGCCAGGTCCCGTGCAAACGTGATGTAGATGGCGCGCTCGCAGTCTGCAAAGCCGACGCACAGACTGGCTGCCCTGCGAAAGTCCTGCGCTGCCCAGACCCGCAGTTTTTCTGTGCATGGCCAGAGGATCTGCGCCCTGGAGGTTGTGCTGGGTTTGTGCGCCTCGCTAGGGAGCCTTGAGGAGGGAAACTGCTCCACGTGTGTATATGATTAATACGCACACACACAGACACGCAGGGTGTATGGGTAGAGCTCAGGGCTGCATTATGACTTTCGTGGGCCCTAGGTACTTTTGCCTTCGTGGGCCCCTCCCACCATAATAATACTAATATTCAAAATTATTACTTTAAATACTTCAACATTTTATTTTTTTCTGTTTTAGGCAAAACTTAATGGATTTTCGTGGGCCCTAAGAGTTTCATTTTTTTCTGATGTGGGGAAAAAAATGAAAACATTTTCTTCGACCTTATAAGTTCATTTTTTTCCCTTCTGATTTTAAAAGAAATTAAAACATTTTCATGGGCCCCTAAAAGTATGTGGGCCCTAGGCACTGTGCCTAATGGATAAGTCAGCCCTGGTGGGGCCTATGCCATGCTCATTCGCTCTGGGTGTACCTTGTGCTGCCTAATGGATAAGTCAGCCCTGGTGGGGCCTATTTCATGCTCATTTGCTCTGGGCGTACCTTGTGTACTGAGAAAGGCAGGTATGAGGCGTGATATGACACACGTGTCCTTTCGGGCTGGCTGTTAGGTACACACAGTCATCTGAGGGCTGCCTTTCTCCAGCCTTGTGCGTTTAATGAAGGGCAGGTTAATGCTCAATTAGACCATTTATTAGCTTTGTTCCGGACCATTGCTTTTCTGGGGTCGGAGGGGTAGGGGTGGCTGGGAGTGGGTGTGGGGTGTGGAGAAGTATGAGGAGGGGAAGGGGAGACCACGAAAGAAAGTGAAATCTCCCTTCTGCTTTGGTATCCAGTGTGAACAGCAGGGAGGGGAAGAATTAAAGAGGAGGACACGTGGGTAGCCAGAAGCCAGGTGAAAACTGATGCAGGGACCCTCTGCTTCTAGGCTTTGCTGCCTTTTTTTTTGAGCATTCTCCTCCTCCCTCAGGGTCGCCCAAGTGGAACACCCAAAAAGAGGGTTAGAGGATCGCCTCAAGCCAACAGCTGAGAGAAGGCTGCAGGGAGGTTCTGTGTGTTGAGCATATGGTGGGAGAACTCCAGTTGGAGGAAGAGAAGTTTATTGTTAGCGCCCGACGAGCCATCAGGAACTTTGTTTTTGTTATGATTAATGCTTATTAATTCAATATAATTGAGCAGGGTTTGGGGCATTCCCCATTGAGTGACTCCATTTAATCACACTGTTCCTATAATCTAATATAGAAAGGAGAATGGTTGTAAGTTTCTGCGCTAATAACTTGGACGCTATAAGAGCTACCGCAACCAAACTTTGCATGGGATAACCTTTCATCCAGGAGAAGGTTTTAAGGTACATTTGGACCCCATCCGGCCTGAGCTCAAGCTGTAAAAATTAAAAAGTAACCCACCACGCTGCGCTGCAGGGGCCACCCCACCCACCCTAGGTCACCGGCCCCCCCCAGCACTATCTGGGACTCGCCCCCTGCTGCCCATGAGATTACATAAGCGACCCTCTTTCTCCCCTCTCCCCCCCCCGTGCCAGCACACAGTGCCCTGACCCCCACACACACAACAGCTTGGGCACCCGCCCTGCCTCTCACAGCACCTGGGTTGAGCTGGAGCGCCCCTGCTGTGTGTAACCTCCCCTCCACCTGGGGATGATGTGGACCTATATTTTAATCCCTATAGAAATCAGTGCAATTTTTCTACCATTCAAAAAAAGATAATGGGGTACTGTTTTTCTACATTTTGTTCCTCTGGTTTCCCAAGCAATGCCAGGTAACTCCAGCTAGTAATCTCTATTTTTGGGTGTGTCTAGACAACACCCTTCTGTCAGAATAAACTACGCAATTCATGCTGCGCACAGTACAAATTGAAATTTGGCGCTGTCTACACAGTGCCAAATTTCAAAATAAGGCACTATACTGGCAAATCCCTTAACCCTCATGGAATGAGTGTTACAGGAATGCTGGAATAGTGCACCTGCTATTTCGGAAAATAGCGGGCACTTTTAAAGATGCGGCATTGCTCTTTCGGGATACTTCTGGTATCCCAAAAGAGTAACTCAGTCTAGACGTGCCCTTTGTGTCCACATAGGATATGTCTAAACTGTGGTGCTATTTCGGGATAGCTATTCCGCGTCTTTTGTACCAGCCCTATTTTTGAACCAACCAATCTATTTCGAAATAACAGGCTCGCTTTTCTGACATCCCTGTAACCCTCATTCCACAAGGATTAAGGGATGTTTCGGAATAGTGGTTTATTTCAAAATTATATTGAAATAAGATACACAATTTGTGTAGCTCAAATTGCATATCGTATTTTGACCTATGGGTGCAGTGATGATGCACCCAGAATGTGCATTATCCTGAGTGGGAAAACTGTGTGTATTAGGTTTTGACTTATTCTTTCTGCCTACTTTAGAAACACACTAAGGCTACGTCTACACTGGCATGATTTTCCGGAAATGCTTAAAACGGAACAGTTTTCCATTATAAGTATTTCTGGAAAAAGCGCATCTACATTGGCAGGATGCTTTTCCGGAAAAGCACTTTTTCCGGAAAAGCGTCCGTGCCAATGTAGACGTGCTTTTCCGCAAAAAAGCCCCGATCGTCATTTTCGCGATCGGGGCTTTTTTGCAGAAAAGAAATCTCTGCTGTCTACACTGGCCCTTTTCCGGAACAGTTTTCCAGAAAAGGACTTTTGCCCGACCCGGAGCAGCATAGTTTTTCCGGAAAAGCACTGATGATTTCACATTAGATCGTCAGTGCTTTTCCGGAAATTCAAGGGGCCAGTGTAGACAGCTGGCAAGTTATTCCGGAAAAGCGGCTGATTTTCCGGAATAAGTGACCAGTGTAGACACAGCCTAAGGGTATGTGTACACAGCAGGGCAAAAGTTGAATTAAGCTACGCAATTTCGGCTATGTCAATAGTGTAGCTGAAGTCAAAATAGCTTAATTTCTACACGGCAGGAAACTGAAGGAAGAACACTCTTCCTTCGACTTCCCTTACTCCTCGTGAAATGAGGGTTACACGAGTTGGAGTAAGAAATCCTCCAGCTCACCATTATTTTGAAATAATGGTAGGCTGTGTAGAGGCTCTTTTTGTTAGTTCGGAATAACACTGCTGTGTAGACATGCTCTAAGGAAGCAGCCAGAAACCTGCACGGTGCATCTGTTGCTTACCTCTATCGCTACCCAAATCTAAACATGTGGTAGGTGCATCACTTCTTTATACCCAGCTATGGCACCAGGTTATTCCTCTGAATTGATTTATCTCCATTTGCAGACACATGACGAAATAAATTCTTTATCTTGTATGTGTTGTGGTCAGGATTTGAGGGTAAAAAAAGAAAAGATTCACTGTATGAAGTGTAGGATCTCTATGGGCCATTGAATCAATCTCTCTCTCTCTCTCTCTCTCTCTTTGGTAATTTTCTTCGGTGAGTGTTAGTATTACAGTTATAATGTGGTGGGAACCAAACTACACAATCTCTTCTGGGCCCCCCGAGAGGTAGGCACTGTGAAAACACACAGATCTGTCTCATCCACAAGATTACATTTGGACTGGGGGTGCTACCCCTGGTAAAGTTGTCCCAGTGTGACTCTATGGGGAGCAAAAAAGAGGTGTTTTGTTTTGTTAAAATACACATGTTCAGTTTTCCTTCTCCGGGCATTGTTGCAATTCTATGGGTTTTGCAAGGCCTGACTACAGAACCCAGATCACAAGGGGTATGTATGGGGGAAGGAGGGGAAATAAATCCTAAAACCAGAGGCTCCTGTGGTTTGTAAGCTTCTGAGCCATTTGCTTCTGGAATGCTGTCATTATTAGCTTCAGTGGATGATTTGTCCTGGTTGATTTGTCCTGTAGAGATTCTACTAACTTGATCCTCCGGGGATGTGTTTGTTTCCAGAGAGGATTTGCTGAGGTCCTGATCCAAAATGCACAGAACCACCAGGATCAAGATCACGGAGCTGAATCCCCACTTGATGTGTGCGTTGTGTGGCGGCTACTTCATAGATGCAACCACCATTGTGGAATGTTTACACTCTTGTAAGTTTCCTCTGTGCCTAGACTGGGACAGGCTGGGGAAGTCAGCTGTTTCCAATGACATGAGATTTTCTTTCACTCCACCTGGCAGATCTGCTTTTGGGGGGCTAAACTCCGAAGCCACCTGGTGGTGATGAGAGATTCACCAGCTGCTCACCTGAATATAACTGCACGGGCCAAGATTTTTTCCAAAGTGGCTAGTGATTTTTTAGGTGCTTAACCTGAGAGATACCTTAAAGAAGCTTACTAGTAGTTTTTCCAGGAAAAGCAGAGCTTTCCTCTTGTGGAAACTGGGTCATCTTGCAACATTAGATATCCCTAACATTGAAGCACCCCAAACCCCTAGTCATTTTGGCCTCAGATTACTTGCTCAGTAATATTGAGGTGAATTGGAGTGAAGCTAGAATCCTACCATATTTCCAAGGAAAACTGCTGGAAACCCAAAGGCGTGGATTTCCTCAAGGGGACATTCAGTGTACTTAAAAGGTGGAAACATGAAAATGGACGCATGGTACTTCCTTTTTTCACACAACATGGGATTAAACTGTAGAACTCACAAATTCACCAATGCCAAAACCATAGCAAGAGTCAAGACATTTTGATGATTGTCAAGAATAACCAGTTACAATGAGTAATGACAAACATTTAGAAAGAGGGGACATTAAGCTATGCAGGGGACATTAAGCTATTCTCTTTATTAGAGATTGGAATGAGATCTATCAGGCTATGTCTACACTGCATGCGTATTTCGGAATAAGTTATTCCACAAGAAATACTTTGAAATAGCTTATTTCGAAATAGCGCGTCTACACTACAGGGAACCCTGGAAATTAGTCCGAGGCAGGCTCCCCTAATGTGAATGCGCTACCTCAATTTAGAGCTCCAGGAAGCACCGGGGAGTAATTACTTTGAAGGGCCCCGGGGAGGAGCTATTTCAAAAAAGCAGCGAGTATCCACACTACGGCTATTCGGAAATAGCTATTTTGGAAGGGCGTTATTCTTCGTGGAATGAAGTTTACCAACGTGGAAATAAGACGCCTGTTATTTCAAAATGATTTCAGAATGACGGGCTAGCTGTGTAGACGCTCTCATAGTTATTCTGAAATAACGCTGCTGTGTAGATGGACCCTGAGGCTACGTCTACACTACGAATGTTTGCGGCAGAAAATATGCTAATGAGGGACTCATTAGCATAAGTCACCATCTCATTTGCGTATTTCCTGCCGATCTGTTTTTTTGGTAGAGGTTTTTGCGCAGAAACAAGCGGTGTGAACGTTTCCTTTTTGTTCAAAACCCCTTTTTGCGCAAGATCAGTATACCTCCTTTTTTGAGGCATAAGGAACTTGTGCAAAAAGTTTTTTTTGCACAAAAAGGAAACATTCACACTGCTTGTTTTTGCGCGAAAACCCCTAGTGAAAAAACGGATTGGCAGGAAATATGCAAATGAGAGTGTGAGTTATGCTAATGAGTCCCTCATTAGCATATTTTCTGCCGCAAAAACTCAGTGTAGATGTAGCCTGAGTGTGTAGGATGGACTGTCCCATATGTGCCTACTTTTGGGGTTTTCTTCCTTCCCTTGAAGCATCTAGTTCCAGCCACCGGTCCAGGGTCTGCTCCAATCTAGGAATTCCTCTAACGTACCTGCAGAAAGAAGCAAGGTGTAAGGGCAGCTGTGCCCAGATAAGAGACCACCGGTGTGAGGGGAATGTGGAATAAACAGCTGGATTCAATGGAAGCAGTCACAGATTACTTTCCAGGCAGTGAGGGTAAAGCATTATCTTGTGCAGAAATTCACTGTCGGTGAAAGCCAGCCCTGGATGGAGGGCTAGGGCAAATTATGCACCAGTTATATCCTGCTCAGGCACCTTTTAAGTAGGATGTATATGGTGCCGAAATGTGACTTAATACCTAGTGCTTAAGTGGTACTCAGGCCATGTGCTGATGCTTTGTCCATGGGTGATAGTCACTCTGTGTGTCTATATGTTGATTTCACCCCATTTATTTTTGTCTTTCTTTCTCTAGTCTGTAAAACCTGCATCGTCCGCTACCTGGAGACCAACAAATACTGTCCTATGTGTGATGTCCAGGTGCATAAAACAAGGCCCCTCCTCAGCATCCGGTGAGGGATTTCACTTTCTGTCTCTTGCCCCTCAGCCCCAAATATGTGATAATACAGGAGATGGAAAGCAAGCCAGTGGTCACTGGAAATTCTCTTCCCTGCTTTGCTGCCATTGAGGGAGGGCTATTTTGGCCTAACTTTTCCCAGAGCCATTAGTAGTAATTTTGGATAGATCCATTTTTTTAGATGTTTTAAGGGGCCTGATTTCCAGCGGGTGGGTGCACAGAATTAAAACAAAAACACACAAACAAAACTCCAAAGAGCAAACAAATGAGCAAGCAAACAAGCAAACAAACAACCCCCCCCCCCCCCCCCAAAAAAAAACCCAGGCTTCTTTTTAAAGTGCTCCAAGCTGGCCATGATGCTACTAGTCACTTTGGAAAATGGAGTATGGACTTCTGATGTTTGTTTAGCAAGGTGCAAAAGTTTGCTCCTAACCAGAAGCATGTGAGTACCCCGTTGTCATCAAGGGGACTAATTTACTTTCTTAACAGGTCTCAGAGGGGCTGTCGTGTTAGTCTGTAACTTTAAAAATAACTCGTGGTCCTGTGGTACCTTAGAGACTTACATTAAAATATAGCATCATGGGCAAAATCCACTTCCTCAGATGAGCACCAATGCTGAAATGGGTTTTATCCTCAAAAGCTCATGATTGTCTCTATTTTTGTGCGTCTCTCAGGTGTCCCAAGACGACTTCTTGTTTTATACTTTCTTAATATTAGGCTCGTGTGTGGGACTCGGGAGAAGTGGGTTACATTTCTAGCTCTGCCCCACACTTCATGGAGTGAAGCACCTTTGAGGATCCAGGTCTTATTTTCTAACTCATGTTCCTAGGGCGACCCCCCCCCTACTTCTCCACATTCCTCTCCCAGCACTGTGCAGAGAGCCAGCCCCAGTCTACTCACTGAGCTCACCTAGGGCATGGCTGGCAGGTTCCATCCTTCCCTCGCTGCCCATGGCTGGGCTGGTGCCTTGGAAAAGCCCAAGACCCTCTGTTTCAGGGTGCTGTCCAGGTGCCACCGTGCTGGCACGAGGCAGCCTCTTTTCCCCTCCGCTAAGCTCTGGAGTAGTGGGTGTAGGGTGTGATTTCCAGTCTGTTCACACCCCGAACCTGCAGGCTCCACAGCAGCTCCTGGGAGGGGGTTTGGCACCCTCTTCCCCACCCCCTCTCATTTCCCCCAGCCCTGGGTCCTGATCCCAGGGAACGCAGGGCTGCTCCATTCCTTAGGGATTTCCCCCTGCTGAGCCACCTCTCCAGCGCCTGCAGTGAGATCCCTGGGCCACAAGGCATCCTGAGGGGTTAACCCCTTGGAGCCTGCACTGTAGCCTGGGGACAGGAGGTGGCTGGGTGATGCTGGGGGGGGGTAGCCAGCAGCAGCCTGGAGGGGTGAGCTGCCTTTTGACCCTGCCTCAGTCGGAAGGGACAAGCAGCGCCCGGGACGAGATCTGTCGGATCATCCCAGCCCTGCGGCTGGAGGCAGCTCCCACCCAGTGCCAGAGGCTGCTGCTGGCCACCTTCCCGTGGGAACACTGGCAGAAATCTGGGCAGGGCATGTGGCCTTGCATTGCCCCCCAGAAAGATGCCAGCCAGGTGCGGAGGGCAGAGAGAACCAAGGTGGAGGGGCGGGGTCCATTGGTCACCCCTCCATGTGTGGGAGTGTGTGTGTGTGACCCCCTCCATTGCAACCTGAAAGATAAGGCCAATAACAAGAATTCAGCTCTGCAGCATTTTTGCAAAAGGGGCTCAGGCAACTTGACGTTCCTATGAACATTTGTCATGGGTTGCAGTGGAACGCGGCTGAATATGAGCCATGGGGTCAGGTGCCCCGATTCAGCATAGGGAAATTGCTCCCCTTATGTTTTCCCAGCTGTCTAGTGGCGACAATGGCACTTGCCATATAGCTGGCTTAGCCGGCTGACCTGGGGCCTGGGCAGCAAAGAATGGCAGAAGTTTGTACCGGGAAAGACCTCTTGCCATTTTCTTCCTTCAGCTACGGCCGTGGATACTGTGGCACAGGGGTCTTCAAACTTCTTTTTTTCATGACCCGGTTGAAGAAAATGGTTGATGCCGTGAGCCGACAGAATGTGACTGGTGTGGGGGCTCCGGGGTGGGGCTGAGGATGGGCACTTTGGGCTGTAGGAGGGGGCTCCGGCTTTGGGAGGTCAGGGTTGGAGCAAGAGGGGCTGACCTTGAGTGATTCCCGGGCAGCGATGCAGCAGGGGGGCTAAGGCAGCTTCCTGCCTCTCCTGGCCCCACAGACCATGTTCCCAGCCAATGGGAGTGCAGAGCTAGTGCTCAGGGTAGGGACAGTGCATGGAGCTCTGTGTGCTCCCCCCCACCCCGCATAGGAGCTGGGCCTGCTGCCGATTGCTTCTGGGGTGCAGCACAGTCTGCGGTGCCAGGCCAGGCAGGGAGCTGCCTGAGCCCCCCCACTGCTCACCTGATCCCCCTGCAGCAATGAGCCCCAGGGTCCAACATCCCAACGCCTAGTGCTGGGGTGCAATGCCTCATTTGAAAACCAAGATCAAGAGCATTAATTTCTACTGAAAAGAATAAGCATCTTCTGTTGAAGCCAAGTGAAATCTTCCACCTCCTAAGAACAGGTACGGCCGCCTGCAGCTCCCATTGGCCGCAGTTCCTGGCCAATGGGAGCTACTCCCTGAGAGCTGAGCTGCTTCCTGCAGCTCCCGTTGGCTGGGAACAGCAAATCACAGCCCATGGGAGCGGCAGGTGGCTGGCTCTGTGGTTGCAAAGTGAACAATCTGTCTGGTTTAAAAAAAAGAAAAAGAAAGAGTAGTTCTGTCGAACCTTAGAAACTAACAAATATATATGTCTAGTATCATGAGCTTTTGTGGGCAAAACCCACTTCCTCAGATGAGCGGAGTGGGAAGTGGGTTTTGGCCACAAAAACTCTACTGTGCTACAGGACCAGTTGTAGTTTTTTTAATTAAAGACTAACACAGCCACCCCGTAAGGCTTTTAAACCCATCTGGCAGGTCGTCAGGGCTCACCCTGACGAGCTGTGAGTGGCTTGCCGGCCATGGGTTGCCCAGCACAGCTATACAGAGTCGTCATTTTGCGTTTGATGTCCTGGTGGGCGTTCCCGAGGGGTTTGACGTCATCAGCAAAGCCCTGGCAGGGATGTTCCGCTCACTGCAGATGCAGCGCCTGGCGTATTGGGTCCCACTCTACGTGGTGTATAATAGACAGGAGATCCGAGCCAGACGGGAGGGTTAGACAGGATCTGGAGCCTCTCCAGATGTTCCAGCCCCTTTCAATGATGTACTAAAGAGATGAGGATGATTAAATAGCGGGGAAAGGCGCGATGCGTGTTGCAACCTCCGGCGGTTTGGACTGAGCACCCGAGGTCAGCGTTAGCGTATGCCCCAGCCACAGGCTTTGAAGCCACGACCAGAGCAATTTAACCTGAGCCTGCTTGTGGTTTATAATGCATTGATCCGTTTGTCTTGCGACTATGCATCTGCCTCCCAGTCAAGGGAGGGTGAGTGAGTGTGTGTGATGTGTGGGTGTGTTTCTCAGCCCCCTGTTCCATGCACAGACCCACTAGGATAAAACTAATGTCCTGTGCTCGGTGCATGATTAATCCCAGCTTTGCTCCTTCTCCATTCATCTGGGCCTGGGGAAGCCAGACATGTCTTGTCAGTTGCAGAATGAGCCGTGCAGGTGGTTGGCATAGAAACCTTTTTTTTTTTAGCGCTTCCATGTAAATCTGTTTCTGTAGTAACACTTTATTTTGGGGGGGGGGGGCTCCCTGGGAAATATTTACACTCTAACTCCCACGGACTTTTCTGTGACGTATCTCTGAATGTGTGCACAGCCCCTGATGGAGGTGCACCCTGCCAGGAGACAGACACAAAGCAGCAGACTAGACTTGCATTGGTGTGCTGAGCACTGAGAAATCACCCTCCTTACTTTATAATTGGCACTGAGTCAGAGATCTGTGGTGTTCAAACGAGGGGGCGATCCCCAGGGCTGGGTGGTGGGAGGTTGGGCCTGGGGGATCATGGCTGCAGGGGGATCAGGTGAGCAGTCGGGGGGCTGTCCTGGTACCGCAGACTGCGCTGCTCCCCAGAAGCACACAGGGTTCCATGCACTGCCCCTGCCCTGAGCACGAACTCCGCACTCCCATTGGCAGGTCCAGGGCCAGCTGGAGCCATTCCTGCACCCCGAGTAGCGGGCGCATGACACATGTGTGGCTCCGCTCCCAGACACACAGCGCGTGCACGGCCCCAGCCCTGGGTGCGCGGCGCCTGATTGCAGCTGTAAGGGGCGCCGGGCATGTGGCACCCCTTATAGCTGCCATCAGGTGCCCCCCATAGGTTGGTGCCCCGGGCAGCTGCCCGGGTAGCCCCCCCTTATTCTGGCCCCGGGCAGGGGACCTGCTGCTGGGGACCTGCTGCTGGAGGGGCAGGAAGCTGCCTTACTGCACTGCTGCCCGGGAGCTGCTCAAGGCCAGCCCCTCCTGCCCCAGCCCTGCCCACCCCAAAGCCAGAGCCCCCGCTACACCCCAAAACTCCCATCCTCAGCCCCACCCCGGAGCGCACACTTAATCAAGTTATGTCGAGTCGCAGCATCAGCAATTTTCTTCAAGTCGGTCATGAGAAAAAAAGTTTGAAAACCCCTGTCATAGGCAACCCCTCCCACCTGCTCCCCAGTCATTAAGCACGGCACCTGTATACCTCTGTGTCCTTGTTTGATCAGCCCCCAGGGCATTAGTGCCTCTTTCCACCATGTTAGCCACATCAAGAGGCCTGGGCTGTAAATGAGAATCCGACCCCCAATTTTATAATCTCTCCTTTGGCTGCCCCATCTGTAAAATGACCCTCAGTTTGCCTCACAATACCGGTGTTGATTCGCAAAGGTTAGAAAAAGCACAAAGGGCAAAGTTATTCATTGTAGTCTAGAAATAAGTTTGATCTGTGATCCGTGACCCTGACGTTCCCATTTTTCCATTTGGCAGTAGGGCTAGAGCCTTGCTTTTGGGGCCAGATCCAAAGTCCTCATGAGTTCAGAAAAGGGCAACAAAAATTATGAGGGGTTTGGAACAGCTGCCGTATGAAGAGAGATTAAAAAGACGGGGACTTTTCAGCTTAGAAAAGTGGAGACTTAGGGGGGATACAGCAAAGTCTATAAAATCATGGCTAGTGTAGAGATTGCGAATGAGGAAAAGTTATTTACTTGTTCCGGTAACACAAGAACTTGGGGCTGCCAAATAAAATTAATAGATGGCAGGTTTAAAACGAAAGGAAGTTTTTCTTCATACAGCGCACTGTTGACTTGTGGAACTCCTTGCCGGAGGATGGTGTGAAGATCAGGATTTTAAGAGGGTTCAATAAAGATCTAGATAAATTCATGGCTGTTAGGTCCTTCAAAGCTTATTTACCAGGTTTGGTAGGAATGATGTCCCTAGCCTCTGTTTGTCAGAGGCTGGGAATGAGGGACAGGGGAGGGATCATTTGACGATCCCTTGTTCTGTTCATTCCCTCTGGGGCACCTGGCATTGGCCACTGTCTCCCATTGAAATTTGTGGGAGTTTAGCACCTGTCCTGCTTAGGCATGTGTGTCAAGCTTATTAGGTGCCTATTTGCATCTTTAGGCCTCTAATTGCCTTTGGAACTCTGGCCTTAAGTCACTTTTGCAAATGGTAGCTAGGGGCGGGATTCACGACAATGCCCCCTTCTAATTTTTTCTATCCACGTGTGGAATAATTTTTGGTATGTGCACCAAGGCATGCGCAGATGTGCACCACCAATAGAAACATGCACTGCTGGTTGTGTGTGCTCTGCTAATCAGCTGGGTGGCATTTGAATCTCTCCTCGGTGTCGGCACAAGCTTACAGCTTACAGGGATTACTGATTCAGGAAGGTACCTGCTAGCCTAACTCTCATTGAAATCGATGGGAATTAATGCATTTCTTGGGTTGATTCATACTAATTTGTTATTATATTCAGTATATATACAGTACATATTCTTTATAAAGTATGCATGGCATCTATGATTATCCACAGTATTAAGCCATAATGCAAGAAACCTACAATGTGTAGCCTATATGAACACCTAAAGCATATCAGTACAGTAAGTTAGCATAAGTGACCTTTGTTCTAGATAAAATGCTCACTTGGCTGCCCCTCAACTCCTGGGAACCAAACAGGGGAACTAAGCCTAGAGCTACTCCGGTTCATATGGTGCCGGAAAGGGTTGACCAGTGACAAAACAGACAGGCAGGGCAGAGAAGTTTCCAGAATGGCCAAAGGTAATGGCTTTGGGAATGAGATAATCCTCCTTAATATGTAGTTATAAGCATCATTCCACGAGGAGTAACGGTAGTTCGAACTAGGAAGCCTAGTTCGAACTACCTAGTTCGTGCCCCGTGTAGCTGCGCGGCACAGGGTTCGAACGAGCGGGGTTTTAAAAATGGCGGAGCCCCGCTTATGCAAATGAAGCCCGGGAAATTCAAATCCCGGGCTTCATTTGCAAGTGCGGTATGCCTACATTACCCTCCTAATTCGAACTAGGAGGGTAGTATAGACATACCCTTGGGTACTATGGCAATGCCAATAAAATAAAAGTCCTTACCTCTGCCCAGGGCTGGGTGGGTGACCTCAAGCATGCCCCCACATGCCTCAGTTTCCCCATCTGTGAAACAGGGATAACCATACTGACCTCCTCTGTTTGAGATTTACAAATGAAAAGTTCTATCTTAGATTTAGATGGTGTTCATTATTTCCCGGCTTTTCTCTATAGTTCCAAAGGCTAGCAATAATTAAAAAACCGAAATGACATTTTGTTGTAATCGTAGAATTCCAGGCCTTCGGGCTTTACATAAAACACCAAGAGTTGGCAAACAAAGGATTTCCTTTGTTTAAAGAACACCACCTGCAACATCTGTCCACTTTCATTAAAGTCAATAGGAATTTTATCAGCCGTATTTAAATCAGAGCAGATCCTTTACAGCAGGGGTGGGCAATAATTTTTGAAGAGGGGGGGCAACTTCACAAATTTTGGAGGTGGTCACTAGCACCTTGAGTGGAAGGGGTGGGGCCTGAAGCGGAAGGGGTGGGGCCTGAAGCGGAAGGGGTGGGGCCTGAAGCGGAAGGGGTGGGGCCTGAAGCGGAAGGGGTGGGGCCTGAAGCGGAAGGGGTGGGGCCTGAAGCGGAAGGGGTGGGGCCTGAAGCGGAAGGGGTGGGGCCTGAAGCGGAAGGGGTGGGGCCTGAAGCGGAAGGGGTGGGGCCTGAAGCGGAAGGGGTGGGGCCTGAAGCGGAAGGGGTGGGGCCTGAAGCGGAAGGGGTGGGGCCTGAAGCGGAAGGGGTGGGGCCTGAAGCGGAAGGGGTGGGGCCTGAAGCGGAAGGGGGGGGCCTCAAGTGGAATGGGTGGGGCAAGGAGTCTTCCCATGCTCCCCCCTGTCCACAGACCCTGATTGGCTGGCGGGGCGGGGGAGCATCAGGGTGGCTGCGGGCTGAAGTCAATGGCTTGACCAGCCAAATCCAGCTCACGGACGCGTCTTGCCCACCCTTGCTTTACAGCGTGGGCTTGACTTCACCTCTGTTCCTCTGCAAAGAGCCAAGGTGATATCTCCCACCACTTATGTCCCGAGTGAGCCCTGTTTTGGAGCGGTAATGGTGCCCAAGCCACATGCTGGTCTTTTGCCTGGGTGTGGAATGGGGTCTCTTGGTTTGGCAACCCACCCTGACTCATTCTTACTTGTGTCTTTCAGGTCGGACAAAACCCTACAAGACATAGTGTACAAACTGGTGCCGGGGCTTTTCAAAGGTACGGAGGCAGACTGCAATGCGCACACAAGGGTGATGGTCTGGGGGCGGGCTTCAGAAACTCTCGGTGTGGCCTCACTCTGTTCCTATTGAAGTCGATTCCGTCGCGCCCTTGGGAACAGGGTTTGGGTGCCTGTGGAATGGCCACCCTTACACCCAACACAAAAAAGATGTATCCCTTCCACTCAGCCCAGGCTGGTGATAGTGGCACAGCCTGCTTAATGTGAATACGGTTATATCAGTATAAAAGTGCTTGTACCGGTATAGCTATTGCTATAGGGGGAATAATCTATACTATATAATCTATAGGACTCTTTTATAACTGCATCCATGGGGGCAGGGGACTGGACTCGATGACTCTCGAGGTCCCTTCCAGTCCTAGTATTCTAGGATTCTATGAAAGGCGCACAGTGGGGCTGACAGCCTTGCTGGACCTCTGGGCAAAGCAGGGGGAGGGCCCTGCTTCATGCCTTGGAAGGGGCAATGCATTGGGCGGAAGGGGCGGGGCCTTGGGCAGAAGAGGCGGGGCTGGGCAGCCCCCAGTGCTGCCTGGTGCATGCTGCATGGCACTCCAGCGGCGATTTAAAGGGCCGGGA